AGGGTCAGAGAGCAGTAACGACCGACGTATGGATCTTGCCGTTAATTAGGGCCGACTATAAAAATCCCTCGCCTTACCGATCGACGGAAGGATGTGGGGGAAAGAAAGGCAGGCGCGAGAGAGAAGAAATGGCGCGAAGCTGATGAGCAAGCGTCGCACTGCCCAAGGATGAAATGAGAGCCGGCTATGGAAGGGAGAAGTGTAGTAGACGGAGAGACCTCCATACCGATCTGCGGTAAGGAACATCCATGGGAGGTCTATAGTATACTTACGTATACTATAGATCGGTATCCTATAGGAACATCAATTGGGTGTCTATAGTATAGTCTATATTTCCCGACCGATAGTCATGAAGGTCCACGGGGGGAGAGGCAGAGGATGCTGACCGACGTATATACGCATAGATCGGTATCCTATAGGCACCCCATGGATCATCCTTACTGTAGCTCGGTAAGTATAAATTATACTATAGACCCCCCTCCCAAAGGCGGGTCTATAGTATACTTACTTATCTATATTTACCGATCTATACTTGTCGATCTATTGCCGATCTATCTGTACTTGTCAGTCTATAGTAAGGAAGATCTATGGGGGATCTATAGGCTGCTTACTTACTTGCCGATCTATCCATAGTTACCCATCTATAGTAAGGAAAGGGCCATTGGGGAGGGAGGGGGGGGGGGCATAGTATACTTCCCGCTCTGTGGCCTAGCACTCTATTATACTTGCCTCTTCCATAGCCGACTCATGTCACACTTCGCCCGTGCGAAGCTTGCTCATCGTCTTCGCGCCATCCCTACTCTCTCCTCTGCCTTTCTCTCCTCATCTCCCTTCTTCTATTCTTAGTTCGATTCTTAGGTCACGTGCTCACGTGTTAGTGAGCGAAATGCGTTGGCGGCCCAATATAGACGCCCCGCATGGTGCAACGGTGGGTCTATTGGATAGCATAACGAACACAACCCTCTCGCGCAAGCACGTGGGCTCATATCGCACCATACGGCCTATTGGATTGGCGAGGGTCACGCGATTTACCCCTACTAATAGGCCCCCGTGCACCATCTGAACCCCCTGCAACCTGTGAGCGGGGGGGGGGGGGGTCTATTGGATCGCAATCCAACAGCGNATCCAACAGCGTGCACAGGAGTCTCTCCTTCTTCGCCCGAATAGAACGCACGGTCATTATAGCTGTACTTGGCAGACCTTTCCGTCTAGATACGGCCATAACGACCGTGCGATCTATTACGGTGAAGACGGTACACGGTAGGGCGGAAACAGGTCGCCGCGGGCGCCTCAGTTCTGCACGGAACAGGCGAGAGGGAAGGGAGGGAGGAGGATGAGAAGGACGGAAATGTATAGGAGTAGTAGATCGGAAAGGCGGAAGAAGAACAGGACGTGAATAAAGGACGAATACGGAGAGAAGAAAGCAGGATGGGGAAGAGGAGAAGGGAGGAGAAGGGAGGAGAAGGGAGGAGAAGGGAGGAGAAGGAGGTGGTGGATGTGGAGGGTAAGGAGTACAAACAGAACGACGCAGATAGAACTCAATCACTCACTGGTATAAGCTCTCGGGCGTCTGAACACTTGGACCTTTTTTTTATATTAGTCTCTGCACGTAATTACGGGCAGATTCATCCGGGTCACTGCTATACGCTCGCGGGCGTCTGAAATCTTTTGATGATGCAAAAGACTGGTCGTCGTCGGCAATGGCCCTTCGAAAAGCCAACCCCTTCGTCGCTGAGGCAGGTCTGGTAGAGTCTCTCCGCGGCTATGGCGTCCTTCACCGTATGCATGTTCTCGACGACCCTGTGTACCCTGTGTTCCCTATCGTATCTTTCGCCACCCCTAGACCAACCCCCTAGATAGCCCCCGTGGCACAGACGCTGGTCCAGCTCTACACTGTAGGGCTGGTCCTCCAGATATGGGCGTCGTTAGACACTGGGCCGTATCTGGAGAAAGACCAGACCTGGAGCTGGACCAGCGTCGGTGTCTGTGCCTCCCTCCACTAACCACTCTCGACATGCACAAAAGACAAAATTCATGGCGGTGTATCTTTCCGTGGTGTAGCTGCAGATTCGCTCTCGTTTTGCACATTTCAAGCAGTGGAGCGAGGCCCACTTCTTGAAGTTTCTTCTTTTGGGGGGAAAATTGTTGAAATGCCCTTGAAAGTTTGGGTATTTCCAAAAGAAAAAGAGAGGGAGTGGGGCTGGGTGGACGGCGCTGAATAGCGCTCCAAGTCGCACCTCTGTCCACCAACACTATGGTCCGAGGGCAGGTGACGTCAACACCATCGGAATCCATCATGGTCTCCGGTAAGGGAGTAGTAGACACCACGCAGCTGGCCTAAGCAAGTTGTCCTAGCTGACTCCATCGCTATGTTTGGTGCATAAGAAGTGTTTGTCGTGTTGAGCGAGAGCGCCAGGGGCGCCGCTCCCGTGACGTGCAGTTGTGGAATGGTTGTAGGGTAGTGATACAGGTGCTTTATGATTTTGATATTGTGCAACAAAAGTGCAGTACTATGGCGACTCGTCATGCAGCGGGGAATCGAGGTGATGGACAGGATCGTTCTCCCCTGGGTGAGGCAGAGATACCAGTCTCGGAGGAGGAACGCATTAAACTCATGATTGCGAAGTGTGTTGAGGATTGGATGGTCCCACACCGTTTTAAACAAGCTAAATTAATCGTGGAAAACGGTACTCACATGGTGTGAACGTTGTCGATGGTGGTTCCACACTACCATTAACGGTTGTCCTCGCCTATCAGAGCAGGGCAATCGAGAGGGGGGAGCCGAACAGACAAACAATTTTTCAGGGAGACAAAATCAAGGTAGACGAGACGAAGATTTTAGAGGTATTAGAGCAGCAGCACGAGATCCTATCATCAACGAACCAGATTTGTCCAGAGCAGAATCATCTGCAGCAACGGCCAATAGACGTAAAGTCTCACTGGTTTCTAGAAGACCTCTCTCACAAGGACAGTGGAACCATCTGCAAGTAAGCATCCCAGACATTCCGATACAACAAGAAGGTCAAACGATCTCTTATCACTAGTCGCTGATGGGGGGAGGAGCTCCCAATGTATATGGTTATGTCCCAGGACAAGGCACATGCAACCATCAAACCACTATGCATGGCAGCAGTGGAATCCGATGCTTGGGATGTTACAACAGAGAGTAGGATCGCAAGGTGGGGGGGAGTTGGATTAAGGCATGTTTTTGGTCAAGGTGCAGAGCAATAGGTAATAACAAATGTTGTTGCTTGAGGGTTGGTGATCGAAGACGAAACAGCTGGATCGAGACAACTTATTGAGGGTGGCGATGGTGGCGTCGAGGAGGATCGAGAAGGAGTGGCAAGAACCCCAAAGATAAGGGGAGATGGCATAAAGAGAGGAGGAAGCGTTTAGCCATGGAAGTTCCGTTAACATGGATGGGGGACATGATTCAAAGTTGGATTCACCAAGAGACATTCACGAAGGGTCGATGACTGTAGGGAGGGAGGAAAGAGCGAACGAAGAGAAGCTTCTACTACCGTTTGTCTATTCTCTATTTAGGCAGGAAGTGTTTGTAATTGCTTTGAAGGGGGAAGACAATCAGACTATTGTGCCCTTAACACAAATGATATAGCTCCCTTCGGAACAATTGATCATGGAGAAGGTGGGGGAATTATTTGGCAATAAGTTATTCTTTCAGTTTTTTTCTGAAGACACTATGCCCAGAGATGATGGCGGAAACATCTGAGGGCCGCAAACTGAAGTTTTTGATCCCCCTGTTGGATGCGCGACAGTCGGAGGAACACTGGAGAGTGTTGCTGCTGATGGGATTATAAGCAATCCCCCTTAGGATTTTTGCATCTCAATAGGCGAACAACCTTGCTAGGATTCAAGTTCAACTTGGTGTTTTTGAAACATTCCTAGCAGGTTTGAACGCAAAGCTTCAACAAAGGAGAAATATGACATTTTCGTATTTTGCAGAAGTGTTGTCTTCAAGGTGGCCTGACCACCTGATTCTGATCCGCAGATCCAAGCGTTGGCTGCAAGACACAAAGCCTATGGTCCTTCTTAGATTGACTACTTGGAATGTGAAGGGGTTGGGGGATTCTGGAGGAGGACAAAAAGGTTGAAAAGAAGAAAGGCAGAAGGCTTAAATCATGCATGTGTAAGAAAGGAATTGATATAATTATGTTTCTGCAGAAAACAAAGTTGTAAGAAGAGAAGATGGTTGAAATGTGGGACTGGTGGGATGGGCTACAACTGTGGTCCCCAACAAGGGGATCGAAGGGAGGAGTGGCAGTGTTGGCACATAGTAAACTATACGCAAAACTGATAGATTACGATAATGATCTATGGGGGAGATTGTCATGGATCAAAATAGGGGTAGGGGACGAGGATTGGATTTGCACATCTTGTATGCTTCGAATGATATTTTGGATAGGATTGAATTTATCGAGATGCTCTCTAAGAAACTAAGCCTTCCTTAATCACATAAACTAGTGGTGGCAGGCGATTGGAATATGGTGTGTTGCCCTGGTATAAACTCAAAGAAAGGAGAGGGTTTATCAAAAGTTCGGAAGACTCTACTCCAATGGATGACGAGATGAAATCTGAGGGATATCTTTAGAGATATCAACCTCTGCTCCTCAAAATACACTTGGTTTGGAACAACACCGAATAGTGAAGGGTTAAGGAGGTGCCTCGAGTTTTTCCTAATAGCAGACGACGCGACAAGCAATGTACTGAGGGTGGATGAAGTCAACGCGGGCATGTCAGACCACAAGCCGGTTCTCATGGACTTACTAGTGAGCGAAGTCTGGAGAGAGGACCGGGTCTCTTCAAGCTTAACACCCAGAATCTAAAGGAGGAGGGCGTACAACTTTGGGTGGACATTTTTTGGGCTTAGTGGAAAACAGCGCAACAATACTTCAACTCAAGTGAATTATCTTTGAACGCATAAACACGTACTCCTTGATTGCGGCGTATCACATGAACAAGGCAAAGGCGGGATGTTGGACGAGGGTGATGGAAGAAGAGGAGAAATTGTCAATGGGAAAACAACCTATCTCGAATGTGGTGTGGACAAACGAAAGAACATGTAGAATGAGGGAATGGGAAGAGCTACGGATAGAGAAGTGCGATTACTAGTGCCAAGTGTTGAAGGAGACGAGGATTGAAACATTGGATAAAATGTCGAAAAGAGACATTCAAGTTTTTGTTGTCACACAAAAGACACATGAAGATGAAACAGTTGAAGCATCTCCCATTTTACCAGACTACCGATGGCAGTTATGAATGAAGAAATGAGCAGGTATGCCACAAACTATTTCCAAGATACTATCAGATGACGATCCTCCTTCAAAGATATCAATTTTGACCTGACTTCTCAGACAAACCAGTGGGGCGCAGTGACGGTGAGGCTGACAGACGAAGGGAAGGCCCCGGGAGTCACTGCTGAATGTAGTGTACACGATCTTTGCGAAGACTTTGACATTGAGGCTGTCAGAGCTACTTCCAAATTTGGTAGGTATAGACCGAGGGGCCTTTGATAAAGGTCGTACAATTATTGAGAACATTATTACGACAATTGAGGCATTGAAAGTAGTTGAGAGAGAGAATTTGGATGTGTGTATGTTGATGCTCGACCTCGAAAAGACGTACGACATAGTGAATTGGACTTTCGTCCTCACTATGCTGAGAGTCGTGGGCTTCGACGAGAGTTTTTGTCACTGGGTGAAGGCCCTGTACGCCTATTCCGTAGCAATTGTTCAAGTAAACGACACATTGTCGCAAAAGTTTTCATTGACACGTTCGCTCCGTCAGTGCTGCCCGCTGACATAGTTGTTGTTTATACTATAGCATAAGGTCTTGCTATGTAACATCATTAAACATCCAGACCCTCAGGGCTTGGAACTGAGAAGTGGAAGAGACTCCAGAGTTAAGGTCCTTGTAGACGATCTCCTTGCTATCTCAGTGAACCAAAATGATTCTTTGGAGGTTCTCAAAAGTTGCTTGCAAGGTTATGTAGAGTATTCGGGAGCCGCAGTTAACTCGAGTAAATCAATCTGCATTTTGCTAGCAAGTTACGAACTGCAAGCCGACTGGGGTATAAAACCGGTTGACGAAGGCGTTGCAGAGGGATTATTAGGGGTTCAAGTAACACTATCAGACTGTTCCACCGCTCATGACTTAATCCTAAAGGAAAGATTGTTCACCAAAGTCAAGAGTCGGGGAACCGCTCCTCATTTGTCATTGATAAGTAGAGTCTTGGCAGTTTGAGTTTCAACCTTCTTGTTTTTTTGGTACACAGTCATGGTGAGGAGGATTTCCTAGCCAATTATCTAGGAGGTCAAAGCGGTAGCAAAAAGGTTTATTTGGAAACCAGGGTCACGGTCGGGAGATTGGCAGGGATACATACCAAAGGTGACCTAGTGGATTTTGTGTTCATCCAAAGAACACGGAGGATTAAACCTCCTAGACCTTATATCCTAGAATACCCTTCTGCTATCCAAATGACTCATAAGGGTATACGATGCTCCCTTAGAGTCTGACTGATGCGAGTTGGTTGAATGGATCCTAACTGTTGAGTGGAACCTGAGAAGAGCCTCGGACATATGAATTGCCTTGACAACACCTCACTTCCCGAACAAGAGAGTGAAATCGAGATTTTAGACGGCGGTAGTAGAAGCATGGAGGAAGTGCAGATCATCCGGTATTCACCAACCACAAGGGTAGAGGCGCTGCGAGAGTCACTCTTCGAAAATATCGTCATTAAGCATAATGACGGTAGGTGTTCACAACAACAACACAGTCAGGTAGTTTTGGCATAAAATGGATCAAAAGGGGAGTATCTACAGTTGGTGATATTTGGGAT